ACTTCATTAGCCCATTTTTGTCCCATGCATTTCTGATTAGATTTCAAGGTAATTAATTTTTATCACTTCATCATTTTGTGCTCCATATATTTGAATGGCTAAATAAAACTTTTAAAAAACAGGAAAAAGAAGGTAATCTTCTCAAAACTCATATTAATACCTATAACAGAAGCATGATTATAAAATTCATATATACCATACTTTTTTAGACTTCATAAAAGGGCAAATTGTGGACAATTGAATAAGCCACCAGTCCCCTCTAATTTTATTTGACTATATCCCACCTTTTATTATTTTTACAAATAACTCAAGGTAGTGAACATATCCAACACACCTTCTTCCTCCCATTTTCCTACGACGATGACCCTGAGAGATGAGTTGGGCTGAGAGTGAGTGACTGGCGCAAAATCACTCAGCTGCTTTCATGGCTAAGACGGGACTTAAACTCCCAGTCTTTTGCTTTCTGGCCTTATAATTTAGATCAGACATGTCAAACTCGCAACGTCACGTGACGCCGCGTGACGTATTGGAGCTTTTTCGCCGTAGCTGGCAATGGGGTGGGTGCGGCTTCGGCATGATGAAACCAGCCCGCGGGCCGGCAGTTTGACACCCCTGATTTAGTTTATAAATTTCTTCCACTCCCATTTTTATCTTTCTTTTTACATATCCACTGCTTTTTTATTTAACTTCTGCTTTTTGTTTCTTATTGGTGTCATTTATCATGGAGCAGGGTTGTTACAGTGTTTTTTAAATGAATATGGGATGCTTTTTTGTGAAGGAAGGATATAAACAGAATGAACTACACACAGAAACCATTATAGTGCACTCACTTCTGCTCAAGGAATTTGGTACTTCCAATTCAGCTCTGCTGGCTAGGTTGGGAATGTCTTATGTAGTCACTAAAACATCCTAAAAAAGGAACATTGTTTGCCAAGTAACTATATATGTAGTAGACTTGGTAGTGACATCCATGGACAAGAGGGGTAGACTGAACAGGCAAGATGGTGGTCATAACACTGGTAACTAAAGTTTTTTGTACATCCATGTTTGGATTGCCCCTGTGGATGCTATTGGATATATATCTATGGAGATTCTCAATCATCCAGGTCATGGTTATCCCAAGGATGTTTTTCCAAAAGGCAACTGTACTTTTCTTGGTGTTTACTTTGAAAAAGTTTCACTTCTCATCCAAGAAGCTTCTTCAGTTCTAACTGACTGGTGGGGGATGGAAGATTTATATTCTTTGTTAAAATTGAACAGCCCTCCCTCAACAGAGGGGGAGGGATACCACACCACCTGTCTCCTGTTTACAACACAGTCCTTTCAGAAGTCCCACAAAAGTTCCACACCTATTTATATTCTGATTCAGGTGACTCCTGAATAAACCCCAAGTGGCCTCAATGACTCTCAGAGAGCTAACAACCAACCCTCAGAGTGCTAATGACCAGATGACTGCAAAGAATATAAATCCTTCCATTCCCTCAGGTCAGTTAGAACTGAAGAAGCTTTTTGGACGATAAGTGATACATTTTCAAAGAAAATACCAAGAAAGTATAGTTGTCTTTTGGGGGGAAAAAAACACGCCTTCTATTGGATAGACCAACATATGCTGCAATTAATGCTCCTCCACTAGACATCTTGGAGGTGATTGGGGTGCTAGGGCCCTTTTTAAATTGCAAAATAGATGTTGTGAGTTTGAGTATCTTGGAATAGACTGCTTTCTGATGTGGTGGTTTCTCCTTCACGGGAAGTATTTCAACAGAGACTAGATGACCATTTGTCAGGGAAGCTGGACTAGCAGATTCTTGTAATGGGTAGAAGGTTAGACTAGATGAACTCCAAAATCCCTTGCAACTCTCACGTTCTGTTAGGTTATGGCTGTACAATTATATTTCCAGCTCTTTGCTGTATTTCTGCAACAGAAACAGGATGTTAATTTTTTCTGATAGAGAAATGTGGACAGCTAGAAGGGCTTTAATATTAAAAGAGTAAAAGACTAGATTAGGATGAAACCTTATCCCCAATAATAAAGTAACCCCTTTATTATCTCCAATAATAATATAATCCCTGTCCAGGAAGGAAAACATAGGAAACCCAATGTTGCCCTTGTGATATAAATATCATAGAAACCACAGCCCATGTTCTTCTATATTGCAAGTTCTACAGAGATTTACGCTACCGGTTGATTACCCGTTTATAAATTTCAAGGGCACTCTGATAGCTTTTATGTATCTGTTAAATAATCAAGATAAATTTATATCTGTAAAAGAAGCAACATTTTACTACATTATGTGTAAGCTTTGCCCACAAATGGTTCTAATAGTTCTTGTTATTTAGGAAATAGTTTTGTGTTGTTCCTTTTATTGATTGTACTTTTATTGGTCAATAACCAAAATAAAGTTATGTTTGTCTTCAAATAAGCCCCAAAGTGCTACAATGAGAAATTCCCAAAACAATTCTCAAATATCCAGAAAACAAGAAAGAAAGAGAAGTTTCGTTGTTAAGGAAAGAAAACTTTTGAGAAACTGCAAAACAGAGTTGGCCTAGCATCAGTGACTGTTTAGACTGCTTCAATATAAATAAGACTGCACACTGGCATGTACATGTATTTAATTTTAATGAATTATAAAAGAAATACAAAATACAATCTATTTAAATCAACATACCATCAAAAAAATTTCTATCACAAGAAATATTTATGCACCAGTATATACATTCTATCTACAGTTCTGAAATTAAATCCAATGCTACATTTAAAAAGATTTTTTTAAAAAAAAATCTGAGGTATCTTACGGAATTTGATGCCAGTTTTACATGGCAAAGTATACTTTTGTGATTACAAAATTATTTTTTAGGGCCAAAGTTTCATTGAGAGGTGGATTTGCTACATTACTGGGGGGTGATAAATTATATCATCAAATGTATCCACTAATACAGGGAAACTTTTGGAAAAATATACCTAAATAAATAGCAAATCTGTACACATATAATTCTACAAAAGTATTTGTAAAATGCTTTTGGATTATGGAGTGAAAAATTGTGCACTTTCAAGTAAGTTTTAGTCCTAGCGTTTCCAACATGATGCTCTAGGCCAGGGGTAGGCAACCTTGGCTCTTTTATGACTCGTGGACTTCAACTCCCAGAAGAAGCCCACGAGTCATAAAAGAGCCAAGATTGCCTACCCCTGCTCTAGGCCAAGTTCTGGAATTCCTGATTTTTGTTGAAAATGTTAAAACATGACAAAAGCGTATTGGCGTGATGGAAAATCGCCCATAATGTTTTTATATCCAAAGTAGCTTACAATAGTGCTGTGCAAATATGGCCCAACAGTTAAGATCACTGTATCTAGACTGCAAAAATCCAAGCAATCACTAGATATCAGCAAAGAGTTAGTTTTGTCTTTTGTCTCTCTTTACACCATTTTAATAGTTACTGAAATTTTGAAGTCCAGCTTTGGCTACCCTAATAACAGTTCACTTAAACATTCTTGGCCATGCAGGAAAAGCAAAAAAATAAAATAAAATGGGCATCATGGACACTCCTCAGATTTTAAAAGGAGGTAAGTAGTAATAGAGTTATTCTCCATCTGTTTTACCTGGGCATTTGTTTTTCTATTTGTTTGGTGTTTTACATCTTTTCTATTTCAACATGGTTTACAAAAGCAGTATCATTTAGCCCTGAAACCAGATAGCTGGTCTTCAATTTCTTGCCTAAGCCATTTTTCTCTGAACATCATCAGGGAAGTCACTCACAAAATGAGAGCTGAAATAGAATCTGTGGATTTAAAAAGATTGATTTTGTGTTAGTTCAGACTTCACCTACACCTTGTTTTTTAGTTCCTTAGAGAAACTGATTTTCTTTTAGCCTAGGGTCAATTGGTTGTCTTCTTGAAAATGGGGTTAATTTCAATTTGGCTAGGTTTAGCATGGCAGCCACTCTGTTAAGAGTGCATAAGGTACTCGCAAAATTACAAAATGAGGAACAAGCTAACATTTTCAGGAGAAATAATGGCTAAGTATTTCCTGTATTTTGACAATTGGATTTCATCAATGCTTCTTACCTCCCACTAAAACCAAACTGCCATTTAAAACAGGAATTATTTATGCAAATTGGTATCATTCTATATATATAAATCCTCTGAAGATCAACTTTTTTTCACAGAAATTTTGAACTGCTTTAATATACTTTTGAACAAAAAAGCAGGGGATTTCTAAATATTTTGCCAGCCCTCTAAATAAAAACTATGGAACTAGGTCCATGAGTGATTTAAATACCACAGAAAAAGTAAAATGCATCCAATGTCCCTTCAGTTGCATCCTGCAGAAGAATGTTAGGACAACCATAATATCTTCCAAGAAACAAATATTGCATTATTAGTTGTCTCACTGAGGAATCCCTAATAAACCTTTGAGGAACCCTAAGTTTTGTTTATTACATTAACTGAAACCAAACATGTCGCAAGGCACCAGAAATTTCATTTCTAAGCCTGGTAGCCAGAAAATGGTCTGAAAGCTACAGTAGGGATAGAATTTAGAATGAGAACATTTGATGAATGTTCTGTAATGAATGCTTCTATTTTGGGGCATGCACAGTTAGAAAGTGCCTTTGCAACACTATGCCAGATTGATGATTTTCATATGTGTGTGGAAAAGAAAGGCAGAAAGAGAAGATCCCACCTAATCCAAACAAACAAAAAAACTGAAAACATTTTGGGAAAGCACCAGTTCTCCTGGGTGTGATGAAGTTGTTGATTGTGCAAATGTCTCTGGGAACCTGTGAGTAAAACGTAGGGGGAAATGCCTTTATAGAAGTTCACGATTCCCCTCATTTTGCTCCCTTCCCAAATCATATTGAATCCTGAGTTTCAATAATCGGTCCATCATTTGCTTTTGTTAATTTTAAAGTGTTGCTAAGTTCACAACAAAATTCCTTTTAGGCAACTGGAAAATTTACAGAAGAATATTCCCAATATTTCTGTTTGAAGTTGTTTCCATATTAACTCACGTTTGCTGCAAAAAAACCTGTAAAAAAATAAAGCAGTAAAATTAGGCAATACTTGGAATTTAGGTAAATACAACTGTGTACATGTCAAAAGATTCTCATGTGAGGTCTGCTACTTTGAAATCTCTGTTGAAATGTGTAGAGGCCTACTACAGTTAGTCCTCATTTAGCGACTGCTTTGTTTAGCAACCATTTGCAGTTACAGCAATTTGACGACCAATCCCTGTATTTTCTCCTTTACAGTTCAATAAAGCAAAAGAACGCTGAAGGAATCTCATTTCATTTAATGAATACTTCACTTAACTATCAAGTTGATAATCCCAATTGTAATTGCTAAGAAAGATTACATATAAATACAGAATGAGTTGAATTTATTGATCATAACTGACCTTGTGGGACATATTACTCAACATTTTCAAAATGGGGAAATCTGTTCTATAGCAACATCCCAGTTACTCAACACTGTAAAAGATGTAGCAAGTTATAAACATCAATACCAAATGGAACAGAAGAGGCTTTTATGATACTGGAGTTAAACAAGAAAGGTGGCAAATTAGTTTGTCTGATTTTAACATGGAAGAGATCCTAGTTGGGATCAACTGCGATGAGCTCTACATGGGGCTTCTTCTGAAAGACATTCAGAAGCTTCAAATAATTTTGAATATCGTACCAGGCTATATTACTACCCCAACTACATAATCAGACCCTTTATTAGCTTCCTATTTGCTTTCAGTGAAATTCAAAGTGCTGGCTTTGATCTATAAAATCCTACACAGCTTGATACCAAAATACCTTCAGGATGATCTCCTCCAGCTGGAATTGGGCTTTGCATCCGAAGAGAAACTGCTTTTGGCCCCACACTATCAAATGGGGAGGGGGAATGAGGCATACCACTATTGTTTCATGGGGGCTGAATCTAAGTTAGGAGCTTCCTGGTTAATAGTAGACTCTCCCCACAATAGTCTACAGTAACTGATATGGTGCTGATGTATGGATGGGTTTGTTTATTTTATATTGGAGCATTTGTAGAATTTATTTTTTACTTCATTAATATTTTTGTTCTAAATATCCAAGAATAATATGTTTGCAATGGGAACAAATCGAATAAATGAATTAACAAAGTCTTAAAGGTGAATAATTCTTCATATCAACACGAAGGAGAAATTGGGCACTAATATGACAGTATATCCTGTAAGATCAAATTTCTTATGCTGGGTCCTGATTCTGTATTTATAAGAAATAACAAAAAAAAACTTGACAAATTTTTGATTACATAGGATACAAGGGTACCTTTCAGGATTTCTAGCACCTCGTGGGATGCCTGACCATCAAGACATTTATATAAATTATGGGCTGTTCCATTATTCTGTTCAGAATCTCTCCACTTCCGCAGCATCATACATTTATACATATTAACATCTTCTTCCTTTGCCTCAATCTGTTCGATATCTTGCAAGGTCAACTTCAGGCATCCAATGCCAATGACTTTCCAGTCTTTACCCATTTTCATTGCAAGAATCATCAGCTGATGATCTGTTAACACGTGATTACTGTTTGTTCCATCTAAATGCATAAAAGCAGAAATTGGTTATAGGTAGTGATTGCTTTTACCTTGTATATATTAAAGAACCCTGCAGCATGAGGTAAAAATGGCACTCTGATTTGTGTGGAAGATTGGATGACATACAAATTGGATGACATACAAATTACATCCTTCTCATGTACCCTGAAGTAGAAGCAGCTAGTAGCTAGTTAGCTGTGTTCCATGCTGCATCAAAATTGACAGTGACATCTTCATTGGAAATCTCACTGAGCTCTGCTGATCTCTTTCAACTAGCATATTATTTCCAATGCAGATATATTATTGTAATAGAAAAGGAATAAAAGATAAAACTGAAGGGCAAAACACATCATGGAACAAGGCCACGACTTTAAAATCTCCACCAGAGCAGCAGGGTACCTAACAATTGATCCACAGCAATCCACCAGAGCTTCAGTAACTAAACCAAATAAAGAGGTTGGATAAATTTGAGTTTTGAGACAGGGGGAACAAGGCATAGAATAAACACAAAGGGTCTGAATATGATGGAAATTTTATTCACTCCCCTATCACAATTTTAAAAAACCAAAATATATTTTAAAATGGATAGTTTGATGGAGCTTTTTTTAGGTTTCATTGAACTGATGACCTCCAAGCTTTTCACTCAAGGCCAAACATTGACAAAGGCAGGCCAAACAAAGGAAATACCACTTGGATCTTTACCAAATTATATATAAATGTCACTAGAGATTCTCTATGCACTAATGCTGCAAGGTTTAATTCTATTTGCTTGCTTTGTTTATATTGCTATTTTCCGTAAAGCCAATTCAAATATGAGTTATGAAAAGAACTTTTTTAAATTTGGGAGGTGCAAAGCCTTATATCGGTGCCCTAGGGTTAGGTTCATTTTTTTTTCTTTTGACAGATCAAAGACCAACAAGAATCAATAATTTAGCTTCTACGTCCTATGTCTCTAATCTAAAGCCCTAAAAATGACTTGACATGAGGGATATATCTGCTAAAAGCTTGCAAATCATATAGATGTGCAGGTCTTCTATTTCTTCCTCCTATTTATAAGTGTCCAGTTTAAAAGAATAAATAAAATTTGAAAATGTGGAGGCAGAAGCATGCTTGGCAGGACTAAATTTATGCAGCCCCCCCCCCAAAAAAAAAAACCCCAGCCTCATTTTGGAATTGATTGGGAGTGGCCTGGCAAAAGAACAAGCCAAATCATCCAAAATTATTCTAGGTTCCCTTTGCAACTGTTGTTTCTCCTACCCAAGTTTGTATTTGACTTGGAAACTGCTAAATATTGACCACAGGTTACAATGAAAAGATCCCTGAATTGATTAAACCAGGGGTAGGCAACCTTGGCTCTTTTATGACTCGTGGACTTCAACTCCCAGAATTCCACGAGTCATAAAAGAGCCAAGGTTGCCTACCCCTGGATTAAACTGTCAATTTGAAAGCCCTTGGCAATGACCTGATTCACACTGATATTCTTAAAGCAGACATATGAATGGTAGCATCTTCTATTTACCACTTTTTACTGCCACAGATCATGCTATAATCATACCCAAAGATTGAGATTTAACCATCATTATTCCTATTAAGGGGGAGGAGATCTGATCAAGCTGTTAAAGAAATATTCATAAACGGATTCTATTAAGAATCTATTGCTAATATCTCAAGATTAAATTTGGTAATATAACACTTTAGTAGATGAGCAAGCAAGCTTCAAACAAAACACAGTCAGATTTTGATCCTACCCCACTGAGTAACAAAGGAAAGTCAATTTCCAAGACAACCCAGTATGTTGCTTTGGTAGATTTCAAGTCAGCAATTGATTTGTTGTTAAGATATGGGTGAAACTTAACTGAGTGAAATTAGTATTGTCAGACAGCTCCTTTTGTTAATTTATCATTTGTGTGGCGATACCCATTCCAGTATTAGAGACAAACTGTCAGATAGGATCCATAATAAAAAAAAATGCATTGAGCATGGTTACTTGTTAGTTCCATGATTACATAACATCTATACAAATTATTTAATTATATATCTTGCCTTTTCACAGCAGCATTATCACCCTGTAAGGTTGCCTGGCAAAGGACCCTCTTTTTTGCTTTATGAAAATGTTGTTTGTTTTCACAGACATAAGTCAGATTAGGAGTCTGGCTGAATATAAACTGCACTAAAACAAAGATTGTGAAGTATGTCACATGACTGATTAAATACAGATGACATATTAATAGACAGGCAAGAGACAAGTAGAATGTTATAAACATTGGATTAACTTTTTGTGACCCAAGATTGTAGAGTGAGCAATTGCCATATGCAGCTAATAATGCCCAAGATGCTGCCTCTGCCACCCTGAGATTTCATCACAGAGCCAGCACTCACTTAGTATTATAACTTTAATGCCCAAGTTTTACTTGCTTGTGAAATTTAGAAAGAAATATTTTGTCTGTATTTTTAGATAGACTGACCAAATCTGTACATCTTGGACAAATTGATAGATGATGATGGTGATGGTGATAATGATGATGATGGTGATAATAATAATACTTTACTTTTGCTGTTATCAAGTGCAAAGAATCAGCACCACGCATTAAGTTGAAGCACAGAAAATTTATTCAAGCCTATATGCAAGACTCTAATCCACGGGTGTCAAACTCGATTGTGTCACGTGACATATCATGACGTATCATGATGTTTTTTGCCTTTGTGAAGCCGGGATGGGCATGGCCTGCACATGACGCATCTGGCCCACGGGCCACTAGTTTGACACCCCGTTCTAATCAATTCAACTTCAACACTAAGTTGTCACCAGATAAGGATGACCATCTTGCTCAAAACGCAATCAATATCTTTAGAAGGACACTACACTCATGTATTTCCTTTTCTAATCATATTCAGAAATTACTTATTAACTCATTTTCAGTATTAGAAACCACTGGATCAACAAATCTGAAAATACCAGGTGAGTTTCTTCAATTCTTAATGAAAGAAAAATTTAACTACAAGCTTAGGAACTTTAAAAAAAAATGAAATAAATAGCAAAAAAGACTTTGATTTTAGGAAGTTATAAATGGATTAAGGATCCAGATAAATTTGAAATAATAATTTAGAATTACTTTTAAGAATCCTATTTGTGGGAAAGTTGACATGTTTTAAATATAAAAGAGATAAACCATTTTTAAAAATGGGCACTAGAGGGAACCAAAGGCTTTAATTTAAAGCAGAAGCAAACAGTTACAAAAGAAAGCAAAATATTGTAACATTGAAAATGCTGAAGGATAATTTTGAAAAATGGAATCAGCAGTTATAATAAAATGTTAATAGCAGTGTTTGCTTCTATGGATAGACTTCTATGGATAAAGGTTGAGAGGTATGCTGGAGGTGTATCACTAGAAAGTATAAAAGAAGGATCTCACAAGCCAGATAGATCTCAATGGACGAGCCAGACTAAGAGTATCCAGAAACCCATTAATCATGATGAAAGAACAAAAAAAGAATCCCATACCAGCTTGGTTATCATATGGGGTAACAAGGACCACGGCAGTTACTATCCCTGGGCAAAAAGTGCCGAAAAGTGAGTTACAGGGTTAGAAAAACACCTGGTGACTTCTCTGCAAAACAATTGCCAAGAAAATTCTATGGAAAGGATCTGAAACGATGCCCAATGATAGGACAAAAGGAATACCAGTTGCTGAGGCATCCAGTGGCAGAAACAAATGTTTGTGTTGTATTAAGATAGGGTAAAATAGATATTGCCAAATGTGAGATGATCAGATTGGAAATTGATCTCCTTGGTGTTAGTTAGCTACACTAGTCGGACAATGGCTTTTCCCAGTCTTGAGGACTTCACTGTCTATTATTCAGGACATGGTACCAGGAAAACAAATCGAGTAGCGTTTTTTTTGTAAGCAAGTAATTTGTTAGAGCAGGGGAAAGCTTCTCAACTGTCAGTGACAAAATTATGACCATCAGAATTTGTGCCAAGACCCTCAAAATCACAATTGTCCAAGTTTATGCCCCAATGACTGCTTCAATAGAGCTTGAAATAGAGGCGTTTTATGCCATGGTCCATGAAACAAGTGGCTCAGAAAAACATTGTTCACATCCTGGGTGACTTTAATGCAAAAGTTGGCAAACAAGTGGAGACAGGCATCATTGGTCGTTTTGAACTAGGTGAGAGGAATGATGCAGGTGATTGTTTGCTACAGTTTTGCCAAGAAAACAGATTTAGGATCATGAATACATGGTCCTAACAACACACGTGTTGCTTATACAGCTCAGTCCTTGCTGTTAAGACATGCTCAAGTGCCAATTGCAGCTCAGATCATGAATTGTTGGTGGCCACAATTAAAATCAAACTATGCACCATCAAAAAGGCAGTGCCTCCAAAGAAGTTTGATGTCCCCCAAATCCCTACTACATATGCAATAGAGGTGAAAAACAGGTTTGAACTACTGAACACTGACGAGAAGACACCTCGTGAACTGTGGCAGGAAATTCAATCAACCATTATTGGAATTGCAGAAAAACACATACCACACAAGAAACCAGAGAAAAAGTGAAAGTGACTGTCAGATGAAACCATAAAAATAGCTGAGGAAAGAAAAGCAGCCAAGGCAAGCAGGCATATGGAAAAAGAAAGAAGATTGAATGCAGCTTTCCAGAGGGCAGCAAAAGAAGGATAATGAAGTTTACTGGAATGAGCGATGTAAACAGCTTGAAGCAGACTACAGGTGAAACTCAAAAAATTAGAATATTGTGCAAAAGTTCATTTATTTCAGTAATGCAACTTAAAAGGTGAACCTAATATATGAGATAGACTCATTACATGCAAAGCAAGATAGTTCAAGCCGTGATTTGTCATAATTGTGATGATTATGGCTTACAGCTCATGAAAACCCCAAATCCACAATCTCAGAAAATTAGAATACTGTATTACATGCAATCAATAAAACAAGGATTGTACATAGAACAATATCGGACCTCTGAAAAGTATAAGCATGCATATGTACTCAGTACTTGGTTTGGGCCCCTTTTGCAGCAATTACTGCCTCAATGCGGTGTGGCATGGAAGCTGTCAGCCTGTGGCACTGCTGAGGTGTTATGGAAGACCAGGATGCTTCAATAGCGGCCTTCAGCTCTTCTGCATTGTTCGGTCTCATGTTTCTCATCTTTCTCTTGGCAATGCCCCATAGATTCTCTATGGGGTTCAGGTCAGGCGAGTTTGCTGGTCAATCAAGCACAGTAATCCCACGGTCATTGAACCAAGTTTTGGTGCTTTTGGCAGTGTGTGCCTCTCCATTCTTCCGCCAGACTCTGGGTCCTTGCTTCCCAAATGAGATGCAAAAGTTGCTCTCATCAGAAAAGAGGACTTTGGACCACTGAGCAACAGACCAGTTCTGTTTTTCTTTAGCCCAGGTAAGACGCTTCTGATGTTGTTTGTTGTTCAGGAGCGGCTTGACAAGAGGAATACGACATTTGAAACCCATGTCCAGGATCCGTCTGTGTGTGGTGGCTCTTGATGCACTGACTCCAGCCTCAGTCCACTCCTTGTGAAAGTCCCCAACACTTTTGAATGGCCTTTTCCTGACAATCCCCTCCAGGCTGCGGTGTAGGGACGACGAACACGTGGAAAAAGAAGGTGTGAAAAGGGAAGGTGTATTGAAAGATAATTACACGAAACTATGTCGTGAAACCCTTGTAGGTTGAAGAAAACGTTAATGGAAAACTCCGAAAGGGAGGAATACCTCCCACAGTTACTACCAAAAGACGTGTTGACAGTCCAGTCGTCAGAAACCCATGATTGTGATACCTACTGAACCAGACTGAGAGACCACTTAAAGGCTCAGGAACCCTTTGCAGGTGTTATGGCTTAATTAGCTGATTAGAGTGGGACACTTTGAGCCTAGAATATTGAACCTTTTCACAATATTCTAATTTTCTGAGATTGTGGATTTGGGGTTTTCATGACCTGTAAGCCATAATCATCACAATTATGACACATCACGGCTTGAACTATCTTGCTTTGCATGTAATGAGTCTATCTCATATATTAGGTTCACCTTTTAAGTTGCATTACTAAAATAAATGAACTTTTGCACAATATTCTAATTTTTTGAGTTTCACCTGTACGTGAAGAGATACAAGAAGGAATGCATTTATGCAAGTCAAAAAGATCCGAGCACCTTTTATTGCTCGTAAAGGCATCGCTAAAAAGAAGCAAAGGAAAGAACTGTCCAACCAACAAGGCATCAAGAAGGGATGGCGAGAATATTCAGAATATACAGATGTACGCAGGTAGCAAAGAGACCTGGTGTATGGCTGACAAGGAAAGAGAATCAGAAATAGAACTCACCACCCTTGAGGAAGAGATATGGGTGATGAACCATCTGCCAAACAACAAGGTTCCAAGTGCTGATACTACAGTATCTCTGCAGAATTACTGAGACCTGTACCACCCAGAGTCATTAGAGACCTGTGCCAGAAAATCTGGGAAACCAACGCATGGCCAAGGATTGAAAAACAGGGTTCATTCCACTGTCAAAAAAGTATGACTCTAATTATCACACAATTACTGTCATCCTTCATAACAGCAAGGTTCTACTTAAAATTATACAACAATGCCTAGACCAACCATCAAAAGGGAATTACCAGATGTCTAAACTGGCTTCCAAAGTGGTCATGGCACCCACAACGTATAACGTTTAAACACGACCTAGTACCTTTATAGAACACATATAGTTTTCAAGTAAATACACGCGAAATAGTTGACGTTCTTTCGGAAACTAACACAACTAGTACTCTTCGATACCTCTCGGGATGTTCTGGACCCCCATGGTCGTGTAGACTAGTTCAACCACGTTAGTGACATGTGTTTAGTCCTTCAGTAACTCGAAACACCATATGGAGATCCTGATTGGTTTAAGATAGAGAAAGGAATGGGACAAGATTAAGATTGTTAGAAATAAAAGGAAGGATTATAAAATTGGCTTATTTGATCAAGGTTAATATAAATATTGGTATTACTCACAACCCTTAATGGACTTTTACTGACATAAGGACTGAAATGATGATGCTTTATGGATTTGTTTATAGACAGAGATGGGGCATGGGATAAAAAGATTATTGTTTATACATTGGGAGGAGAAAAAATACTAAAATTGTTTATACTTGTTATGATGAGGGTTGAAAGTCAATTCTCTATGTACTTTTTTCTTCACAATATTTTTCTGTTTTCTATTTTTTCCTTTGCACTTTTTATCCTTTCTACTCTTTTTTCTCTTTTTAGTTTTTATTAGTTTTTACTATTGCATTATAATATTTAATAAAATTATTTAAAAAAACAAAACATTTAAGTAATAGGTGTTATTATTATTTTTTCTTTTTTTATATTTGGCTTTTATCCTTGTAAGCCATCTGGAGTCACCGAGAGTGAGTAGGGCAGCCATATAAATTTTCTTAAATAAATAAATGAATTGTTTCTCTGGGGAGAAAGAATGGACACATATATACACAAGCAAACATTGCTTGGAAGAGAGTAAAAAGAACTTCTATGGGCATTGCTGGTAAAGGAGCATAAATAATTATCAAAGAGAAGGAAAATATAACTAATATCATCTTAATTAGAATTTAAGTATACTAATGAAAGCTGTCTTCGCTGTAATTCATTTAAAAGTATCAAAGTAACAGAAATCAAAGATCTCCCTCGTGTGGACATTTACAAATACATTACTATTACATAATAACGGATTAAAATTGATCACATATGCATTCAATCGTTACATTTCCATAGTTCAGATTGTTAATCCTATTTAAAATGCATCATTTCACAATATGGAAAAATGAAAAGCCACTTTAAAAAAAAAGTACATAAAATATTTACCTGAAATGTCTACCATTTTTTGTCGCTTACAGCAAAGTTCATCTTTAAGTTTGGTGGTAGCTTTTCGTTTCCCAACACCTAAAGCATGCAAGGCAAAAAACAAACAAACACAGGGAATCAAAGTGTATAGCCTTTCATGCTTTCTAAACATATGTACCATCCCAAGACCCTTAAGCGAAAGTGTCCTTTGTTCTTAATCCCACACATACCCCATTACAAACTGGCTTCAAAGTAATTTTCCAAAGCAGCTTTTTCAAGCGATGAGAACTGCAATTAAAGGGACTGAAAATCAGCCAATATCTGAAGAAATGTAAGTGCTGCCAATTCAGCTAGGGATGTGAAACCAGTGGTGCCCTGAATGATGCTAGGCTTCAACCAGCATCAGTCCAGTTACCATGTCGGCATCAAAAGAAATGCTCTGAAATTTAAATTTAAATTCTCTCAAATTAAAGCAGAGGTCCTAGGTGCAGAAGTTAGGATGGTATTAATGCACACAACCCCTGACACTGTAATATTGAACATATCTGGCTATAGACATAGAGAGGTTTAAAAGTATAGAAATATCAGGCTTCAGGGGAAGATATTTTGGGTGCAATGGTCTATTTGTAGTGGGTTTCCACTACATAATAGGTATGGGGAGAAGGGCGGCATATAAATCCTGTTAAATAAAATAAATAAATAAATAAATAAATATTGGGTATTGGGTATTGTATGTATAAAGCTTCTGCCTTGAACTTGGTTGGGACAATTCTATGAAAAAAGATATGCCTTTATAAAAAATTGGTGTTGGATTATGTTTTAGCCCCAAACATGCTTTTCTGTCCAATTTTAACTGGTGATCACCATCTTTTCCCTTAAACATCATTTGTCTGCTTCCTACACCTTTAATAAATCATTAATAAAACATTAAGGACACCGTAGCTGGATTATATTTTTTCTTAGATAGAACACAAGATTAACAAATGCATTATTATAATGCCGAGTTGTGCTTCAGCAATAATATTTATAGTCAGGGCTTTTTTTCTCATAGAACGCCCAGAACGGAGTTCCGGCACCTTTTTTGGATGGAACCTTGTAGGGTAGGCAAGGCGGGTTGTATGACGTGTGTGAGTTCCGGCACCTTTTTTTTTTTTTTTTTTTTTTAGAAAAAAAGCACTGTTTATAGTTGCAAAGACACATGAATGCTCCCATATGAGAAGTCATAAAAAAAGTTAATGTAATGGTATGGTGTACAAAACCAATTTTAAGCAGATCTGTTCCAAACACTTACAGTTAAAAGATTTTTCCTGCTCATTATCATTCTGCTTATGTAGAGTCCAATCGGCTATCCAATGCAAAAAAGAAAAAGCATGTGGTAAAGTAGTTTGCAATACTGATTAAATAATGACATAATTAAAGAATGATATAAACAATACAGGTCAAATGGGCATTTACTGTACAAATAAGTTTATTTTATAGCTTTTAAAAATATATGGCCCACATCTTTAAAGAATTTCATAACTTCGGTCAGCATTTTACATATAATAAATAAGAAAACTCCATTTTTCATGGAGCTTGAATTTGCTATTAATTTATTAATTTTAAAAATGTATACAGTATGCTATTCAAAGATTTGAATAAACAGAAATATTTTAAGACAATTCCTAAACTGAAACAAAGAGAAGGCCTCAAATCTATCTGCAAGTTGTTCCACTACAATTAAGACAGAATTAACTGTTAAGATTACAGCCAGTCATTCCAAAATAGTGAAGGTCTAAGAGCATATGGTAGAGTCTGTAAAAGTTAAAAGTGCTTTGTGTTGTGTTAAGTACTTTGTGTCTTACCCAGTAAAGACAGAATTTATTTAAATGAACTTTCCATAGATTATTTATGACTGATTGTCAATCATTTAAAAATAGCTATGCCCCACAATGATAATCCTATCTAAAATTAGAAAGAAAATAATACTACATTCAAATAAGGTGTTTGTATTCGCAATTGCTGCAAAGGCTTTTCCATGAACCAAGCCACAGACATATTAAAATAATCAAAAGATCAAAAGACAGCTTAGTAACCACATAAAACAGCAAACATAGCATAATACACACAGACTGTATTGTTGCCTTAATTTTCCCTCACCTTGTGTAATTACATAAAATCCCCAAACTAATTTTTCATATGAGAAATTTAAAATATTTATGTTTATTCTGTAGATTTTTTTGTAGGAGCTTTAGAATTAGAAGCTAATTTTATTTAGAAAAATAAATCAAATCCAAAGTAACATAAAATGTACAAATTTTCACTGTAGGCAAATTTATTAATTACAATTCATTATTAAATGTTTAATAAAAATGTCTAGCTCCATGCAGCGTACACTGGATTGTGCTCAATATATGCTTACATTCTCTGAGCTTTGCCTTCCACACAACTTCTTCAGACTCCAAATCCACCAAAGATAACATAAGTTCCATTGGCTGTTCTAAATATACCTCAAAGAAAGGCTTCTCTGCCAGGGTGGAGTCATCTCCAAACTGAATTTCCTAAAAAGGGATATTGAAATATAAAAAAGTCTGCTTATTGTGACAAAATACTTTTGTTCTTTAAAGTATTCTTCTTTATGAATGAATAAAGCATTTTGCTGTACATGTCATTATGGTAGCAAAGGCTAGATCTCATTTAAAATAACAATTGCCCTAAAATTGGAAGTACAAATGATGACATTTTCAAGTTTCACAAACTCTCCATATGTTGACAAACCTATTATCAAAGAAGAAGAAACATACCTCAGGGGTTATGTCAGCTTCCGGATCACTAGTTAATCTGTATTTCTTTCCATTTTGCAGTAATTTATGACAAGGAGGTTTTTCAATTTTAATGAATTTATTAAGAGATCGTCTTACAGTTTTGGATATATCCTAAAAATTAAACCAAACCTTTTTGAAAGTTGTCCATATAAAATGTAATATTAATAATAGACATATTAGATATACATTTTATCAACCTATTTCAGTCTAAAAAGGGGTTAGATTATCTGCTCAATATTTTAAATTCATTCACTATATTACATCTTCATTTAGTGTTCTGGCTCCCATTTGTTTTATTAGAAAGAGATTGTACTTTCCCAGTTTTGAGCATGTATGTAGGAATCCTAGAAATGTGATGCAGAACTGGTTATATTGAGGATATATGTAGGAAACCTAGAAATGTTATATTCAGAGAGATATAAGAGCCAATGTGATCTCATGGTTAAGGCAACAGGCTAGAAACCATGAGACTTTGAGTTCTAGTCATGCCCTAGCCATGAAAGCCAGCTGGATGACTTTGGGCCAATAAATCTTTCAGCCCTCTTTCACCTCACAGAGCTGTTGTGAGGAGAAGAGGAAGGTGTGTTTGATATGTTCGCTGCCTTGAGTTATTTATAAAATTAATAAAGGCGGGATACAAATAAATAAATATAAACATAGCAATTAATTTAATTATCTGTCTAGACTTTGTTGAGCAAAATTTTTTACTATTTTATTTTATTTTAGGTTAGAGACCAAATCTTTAAAAGTACATTCAGAACAAAATAAATTAAAAGCATATGGAGTTGAATAAAATATATATACATAAATTCAAACAGTAAAATGGTAAAATAATGATAAGCAGTAAAGCAGAAAATGTCATTGGAAATGGCATTTCTGTCTCCTAAATGTCACTCGGCTGATCCAGATTGAGGTGAGTTTAAACCCACTGAATTGCAATGGCAAGGGAACCAAAGTACCCACTAGAAATAATTTTACAGTCACAGCTTTTAACAAGGATGAAGAGTTAAAAAAAGTTGATCTTACCTTTATGAATGAATTGTTATTTGTAGCTATATACACACGGAATTTCAAGGAAGGATGATTGTTGATAACTTTATATAAAATGACTACCCCATGATAATAAACTGGATCATATCTCTCAATTACTGGTCCAACTGGAGACAGTGAGCTCACGTGCCATTTGACATGTGTGGTTGAATGATCAATGGAGCCTTCAAATTCTGGACCATTCTTTTTGAAATGGAATACTTTGAAGGCCTTCTCAGACAAATGATCTGCACGCAAATTCCAAAATGTTAGAACTTTCTCAAGAATGTGCGACAATACATAAATATATGAGATAATATTTACAACGAATCTTACCATTCAGGCAGAGGGTGTGTGGAAACTGAATGGAAGTAAGAACGGAAGAAGTACATTTGATATCAAATATAGGGCCCACAACAATCCAAGGATCTTTAACATAAGCAGCATATTTGGTCCAAGACAAAACTGAATATTCAATGGTGACAGCTCTGGTTACTTCAAAAATTAACCCTGTCGCTGTACATTCAAAGGTTCCTTCATCATCCAACTTCAAGCTAAACAAATGACATACAAAAGATAACTGTGAGTCTATAATATCATCAAATGATAGTTAACATTTTTTTATCTTTCTAAATAAATATTTAAAAACACACAGATGGAATATTGGTGCTTAGCATAATTCTTCCGCCTATGAGCAGTAAGATACTTTAAAAACGTTTTAAAGTTGTAGTCCTGCAAACTATTCTTTAACAAAACAAAAAGATGAAAATCACAAATGTTATTTTTGTTATATACCCTTAGCAGATTGTTAGCTATTGATATAATTAGAAGTATTCATATCATTTAAATAACAATAATAATAATAAAGTTGGAAAGGACCTTGGAGGTCATCTAGTCCAACCTCCTGCTCAGGCAGGAAACCCTATACCATTTCAGACAAATGGCTGTCCAGTCTCTTCTTAAAAACTTCCAGTGTTGGAGCATTCACTGCTTCTGGAGGCAGGTTGTTCCACTGGTTAATTGTTCTAACTGTCAGGAAGTTTCTCTTTAGTTCTAAGTTGCTTCACTCCTTGATTAGTTTCCATCCGTTGCTTCTTGTCCTGCCTTCAGGCGCTTTAGAAAATAGCTTCACTCCCTCTTCTTTGTGGCAGCCCCTGGGATATTGGAAGACTGCTATCATGTCCCCCCTCGTCCTTCTCTTCATTAAACTAGACATACTCAATTCCAGCAGCCGTTCCTTATATGTTTTAGCCTCCAGTCCCCTAATCATCTTTGTTGCTCTTCTCTGTACTCTTTCTAGAGTCTCAACATCTTTTTTACATCGTGGTGACCAAAACTGGATGCAGTATTCCAAGTGTGGCCTTACCAAGGCATTGTAAAGTGGTATTAATACTTCATGTGATCTTGATTCTATCCCTGTTAATGTAGCCTAGCACTGTGTTGGCTTTTTTGGCAGCTGCAGCACACTGCTGGCTCATATTTAAGTGATTGTCCACTAGGACCCCGAGATCCCTCTCACAGTTACTACTATTGAGCAGGGTACCCCCTATACTATACCTGTACATTTGGTTTTTCTTGCCTAAATGTAGAACCTTACATTTTCCACCACTGAATTTCATTTTGTTAGATAGCACCCAGTGTTCAAGTCTGTGCAGATCCTCCTATATCTTAAGCCTGTCTTCTGGAGTATTGGCTATTCCTGCCAGCTTGGTGTCGTCTGCAAATTTGATGAGTTCCCCATCTATCCCCTCATCCAAATCGTTGATGAAGATGTTGAAGAGCACTGGGCCCAGAACAGAGCCCTGGGGCACCCCACTACACACTTCCCTCCATGTAGATGCGGTTCCATTGAGGACCACACACTGAGTACGGCCGGTCAGCCAGCTACGAATCCATCTGGTGGTAATTAGCATGCATAATATAATTAGTAAAATTAGTGTACATAATAGTACTAGCCTCTTAGACTATGTTTCTTACACTTCACATAATGATAATGAATGTATTTTAATGTGCTTTTAATAAGTAATAGTAAGCTAGAAAGTATACCAAAAAATTCATAATTTCCATCTTCTATGAAGTGGACTTCCTTTTCATAATTCCAGAATAAACAATACTCTGAAATAAATATATAACAGTATCTAGAAAAACAAGGTATATATAGCAATTTTTGTATGAATGTTCTTGATTTTATAATTATCAACCAATAACTTTCCTTCATTTTTTTTCTATTCCATCAAAATACTTGAGCAATGAAGTGAATATGTAGAATTAGCAGCAGATCCTCCCATGTCCTTTACTAACTGATAGCATGCTTATATAAATTTGGACCTGCACAATTATATACATGTAAACATAAAAAAGAAAACAATTCCAGTAATGTTTATAATAATAATAACAACAACAACAACAACAATAAATAACTACCAAAACTGTCCTTTCAGAAATCTTCTGGGAGTGACTTGTTCATGTTGCTTCTTTATATTTAAAAGAAAAGAAAAATAAATTATTGAAATATCAGTGGTACCTTTATGAAATAAGATTTAAGGCAACTTGAAATTTTCAAACCTACTTTTTGGATTATGCAATGTTTACAGCATTGCTGGATGTTAACTTCTAAAATGAAACAATAGAACAAAATTAGATTTTTTAAAACATAAAACTTTTTAACACTGCAACATATACAATGTTCTAAGGGTCAATACCAGATTTGCCACCATTCTGTAACTCTTTTTCTTCTGGTTTTTCAACTGTAAAGCAAACAAAAAAAAATTAATCATAAACTGAACCAGATAGGAATTTTAAAATTGTTATCAAAACATAACATTTGAATGATCCCTGTCCTTTTAGATCTCCCATCCCTGTTTAATTAATTAATTAATTAACTTTAATTCATTGCCTCAATTTTCCAGAATTCTGGACAATATTGCAAAATATACAATGTCTGTACCTGATTCGCTACAATATAGCTGTAACTCTTTCTCTTCTGCTTCCTCAACTGTAAAAAAAATAATAAAGTGAATCATAAGCTGAATCAGTTAGGATTTTTTAAATCGTTATCAAAATGTAACCTGTGAATAATTCTTGTAATTTGAGGTCATATCAAATTAACACCCTGCACCCTGTGCATTTTATTTTAATTAACTGCCTGTGCTTTATTTTCCAGAATTCTGGCAATCTCAATATTTTCATATTATTTTAGGGCAACAGAAGATACTTCTCACATGATATAATCAAGCTACACAACTTGCTATTCTATCATATGAGAGCCATCACATTAAATCAGCTACAGAAACGAACATAGTGCTAGACTTCCACAGCTATTAGCGATGACAGCTTGTTAAATGTTCCTTACTCACCTGCTATCCTGGGTAAACTACTAGTGCAAAGTTACTATTAAGGAACTCACTTGTAAGCTTGCTGGAAGCATAAGACTGACTGCTAAAAGAAACAGAATATTGAACTAGGAAGATAATTCACCTGTCCTAAAAGAGATTTTATGTTCCTATACATTCAGTTTTCCAGTCTGTAATGAAAGTGAGAGATGATCATGATAACCATATTCTTATTACTAATTATAGCTGTTGGACATTCCAGTCCACCTATTACAGCTGATGAAAATTAGAATTTTAATCCAAATGTGACTTCTGTTATGAGAGATAAGGTTGGCATTCACCATTGACCAATCTATTTAGTTAATTCACCTTAAATTCCGCAAAACCCTTTTTCGAAAATGATTCAGATCGTATACTCAATATCATTTCATTATTACCAGATTTTCAGCATGAAACTATCAGAAAAAAATAATCAAATTAGGTTTTTAGATACCTAACATGTTCATATGAATTGTAAAGTACTACGGAAGGGAATGCAAATTAAAGAGAAATGGAAAAATGCAAAACAATGGAGCAGCAGGCACCTAAGAAGTCTATTGAACATTGATCAATAGTGGAGAAAAATAGAAAATAGTGTTTACATAAACAAGATAAATAAACAGAGCAAGATATGCAGTCCTTGACTTATGACCACAATTGACCCCAAAGTTTCCATTGCTAAGCAAAATAGATGTTAAGTGAGTTGAGCTCCATTTTACGACCTTTTTTGCTACAGTTATTAAGCGAATCATTACAATTGTTAATTGAATCATGCAGTTGTCAAACAAATCTGGCTTCCCCCATTGACTTTGATTGTCAGAAGCCAGTGGGGATTACATGCCTCCGGATCACTGCAACTGTCATAAGTACATGCCAGCTGCCAAGCACCCAAATTTTGTTCACATGATCAGGGGGATGCTGCAACAGTTACAAGTGTGAAAACCGGTTGTAATTAATTTTTTCCATTGTCATTGAAAATCTGAATGGTCACTAAAATGAATGGTTGTAAGTTGAGAACAGTATATGTGAGAACACTGCATATGGCTCATAACTGGTGGGATGCAAGCAACAATAAAGTCACTTTCAAGGTAGACACTATATTAGAGATCCTAGTTTGAAGGAAAAGTTGAGCATATTTGCAGTAAAATTAGGCTTTGGTTGCTCCAAATATGCAAAAAGTAACAGACAGTGTCTTTACCATTTATAAGAAATGCTGCATGACAGTAAAACTGTCATAAGAATAAATGGAATGCTTTGCAAATGATTCAAAACTAATCAGACAAGGATGTCTGATGTACTCTTTATTATATTTAATATCTTTATTATATTTATTGCAATTTCAAGTTATACATACAGTAAATGGTAAAAAAAGGTAATATGATTCATTTTGAAACCATGGTCAAGTGTTTACTACACATGAGGAAATGGATGGGGTGATTTTGAAGCATGCAAATACTAGCAGAATGGTAGGGAGTCTGTTGCAAGGAATTAATGTTTCTTGAAATTATTAATTATTCTTTCTGCCAAAGGAGGTGTTACAAAGTACCAGACTGAGGGGTCCTTTTTTTTTTGCATCTGCTATGGCCACTTTAAAAACTGAATCTGTAAACAACTGCATATACTATGCAAGTAAGCATGCATTCAAATTTGCCAAAATATCTCCTTTTTAATTTGTACTCTGCAGACACTGGGTCAGCCCCTGTTCTGTTAAAGATACACAAACAACAAAAGTGCCTAAACTTTTGCATGTTAAGTCATTTCCTGTAACTTTTTCACTTTAGTCTGGACTTTTTTTTTAGTTGCTAAGAATACCACAGGCAAAACATATTTGATCCTAAAAATTATAAGTCGAACATCACACATTTGCAATGATACTGGTTTCCATTTGTATGATTAAAGAACAAGAGCCTGTCTGATTAAAATCAAGTCTCTTGTAATTCAGAATGCGACTTCCAACATTACCTCCCTCACCTTTTCTAACCTGATGCGGTTCTGAGTACAGGCACAAAGGACTTGAAATACGAGTAGTCCTCAATTTACAACTGGTTGCTTAATGATGATTCAAAGTTACAACGGATCTCACCAGGGATACTTGGTTCTGAAGATCTGACAGCCACCTCCTGGTCCTGTGACACCGGCACTAGGCAAATAGTCCACATTTGTGGCCATTTGCTGCATCCCACAGTCATTTTGTGACTTTTTTTGCCATTTTTTGGACAAAACTAGCATTTCCTTTAAGGGTTTTGGCAAAAACACCCATAGTGAACAACTGGTTCACTTAGCAATCGCTTTATGACTAATGTGTTCACTTAAGAAGTGCCACAAAAAGATTGGTCACGTGATAACCCACTTTAGGTTCATCACGACTGTAATGATTAGGCTCCATTATAGTCGTAAGTCAAGGACTACCGCTAGTATCTTCCTCACTCTCTGGCAATCTGAGTACAGTATGAGAGCTCCACCTAACTATTATACTTATTACTATTTAATCAGTTTAACTATAATTTCCTCAATTATTATTCTGAGGAAGAATAGCACTTTTGCGATAGTAGGATATTTTTTGAAGTTTTAACTATAATGAGCAAATACCATACCTTGGTCATTGTTAACTGTTTTCAAATTATCTTATGACCTCCTTAATAACATTAACAGCCAAATAATTTGCTTGCATTTCTAAGTATCTTCCTGCGATCTTGCAGAGCAATTCTGTTAGAGCTTTCCCACACAAAAACTACAATTAACGATAAATAAAGGATACCCACGTGGTTCATTTTCATTTGTCTCTGCAAATAAAAAGGTTGACATGGTGAGACAGAAAGATTTGTTGACTTGTTAACTTTTTGGATTACTTGTTCGTTTAAAATAAAACTAGGCATAAATATTAAAACATGTNAAGGGGAGTGGAAATTCCACCATTGAGAAATAATACCTGCCTAGAGCCAAACTTGCAATGTCTGTCTTGGGCAAGATCAAGTCAAAGACTGGAGTCTAAGGTCCAGGACGGGCGTGGCAACTTTGGCTGACTTGATCTGATTGGGCAGGAATACAGTCTACTACCCAATGGTGGAGTCTCCATCTCAGTGCTGGAGAAATATCAGGCTTCAGGGGAAGATATTTTGGGTGCAATGGTCTATTTGTAGTGGGTTTTTTCCACTACATAATAGGTATGTCATCCTTACAGTTGATGGGTATTGTATGTATAAAGCTTCTGCCTTGAACTTGGTTGGGACAATTCTATGAAAAAAGATATGCCTTTATAAAAAATTGGTGTTGGATTATGTTTTAGCCCCAAACATGCTTTTCTGTCCAATTTTAACTGATGATCACCATCTTTTCCCCTAAACATCATTTGTCTGCTTCCTACACCTTTAATAAATCATTAATAAAACATTAAGGACACCGTAGCTGGATTATATTTTTTCTTAGATAGAACACAAGATTAACAAAGGCATTATTATAATGCTGAGTTGTGCTTCAGCAATAATATTTATAGTCAGGGCTTTTTTTCTCATAGAACGCCCAGAACGGAGTTCCGGCACCTTTTTTGGATGGAACCTTGTAGGGTAGGCAAGGCGGGTTGTATGATGTGTGTGAGTTCCAGCACCTTTTTTTTTTTTTTTTTAGAAAAAAAGCACTGTTTATAGTTGCAAAGACACATGAGTGCTCCCATTTGAGAAGTCATAAAAAAGTTAATGTAATGGTATGGTGTACAAAACCAATTTTAAGCAGATCTGTTCCAAACACTTACAGTTAAAAGATTTTTCCTGCTCATTATCATTCTGGTTATGTAGAGTCCAATCGGCTATCCAATGCAAAAAAGAAAAAGCATGTGGTAAAGTAGTTTGCAATACTGATTAAATAATGACATAATTAAAGAATGATATAAACAATGCAGGTCAAATGGGCATTTACTGTACAAATAAGTTTATTTTATAGCTTTTAAAAATATCTTTAAAGAATTTCATAACTTCGGTCAGCATTTTACATATAATAAATAAGAAAACTCCATTTTTTCATGGAGCTTGAATTTGCTATTAATTTATTAATTTTAAAAATGTATACAGTATGTTATTCAAAGATTTGAATAAACAGAAATATTTTAAGACAACTACTAAACTGAAACAAAGAGAAGGCCAGCCTCAAATCTATCTGCAAGTTGTTCCACTACAATTAAGACAGAATTAACTGTTAAGATCATTCCAAAATAGTGAAGGTCTAAGAGCATATGGTAGAGTCTGTAAAAGTTAAAAGTGCTTTGTGTTGTGTTAAGTACTTTGTGTCTTACCCAGTAAAGACAGAATTTATTTAAATGAACTTTCCATAGATTATCTATGACTGATTGTCAATCATTTAAAAATAGCTATGCCCCACAATGATAATCCTATCTAAAATTAGAAAGAAAATAATACTACATTCAAATAAGCAGGTGTTTGTATTCGCAATTGCTGCAAAGGCTTTTCCATGAACCAAGCCACAGACATATTAAAATAATCAAAAAATCAAAAGACAGCTTGGTAACCACATAAAACAGCAAACATAGCATAATACAGACAGACCGTATTGTTGTCTTAATTTTCCCTCACCTTGTGTGGTTACATAAAATCCCCAAACTAATTTTTCATATGAGAAATTTTAAAATATTTATGTTTATTCTGTAGATTTTTTTGTAGGAGCTTTAGAATTAGAAGCTAATTTTATTTAGAAAAATAAATCAAATCCAAAGTAACATAAAATGTACAAATTTTCACTGTAGGCAAATTTATTAATTACAATTCATTATTAAATGTTTAATAAAAATGTCTAGATCCATGCAGCGTACGCTGGATTGTGCTCAATATATGCTTACATTCTCTGAGCTTTGCCTTCCACACAACTTCTTCAGACTCCAAATCCACCAAAGATAACATAAGTTCCATTGGCTGTTCTAAATATACCTCAAAAAAAGGCTTCTCTGCCAGGGTGGAGTCATCTCCAAACTGAATTTCCTAGAAAAGGAATATTGAAATATAAAAAAGTCTGCTTACGGTGACAAAATATTTTTGTTCTTTAAAGTATTCTTCTTTATGAATGAATAAAGCTGTACATGTCATTATGGTAGCAAAGGCTAGATCTCATTTAAAATAACAATTGCCCTAAAATTGGAAGTACAAATGATGACATTTTCAAGTTTCACAAACTCTCCATATGTTGACAAACCAATTATCAAAGAAGAAGAAACATACCTCAGGGGTTATGTCAGCTTCCGGATCACTAGTTAATCTGTATTTCTTTCCATTTTGCAGTAATTTATGACAAGGAGGTTTTTCAATTTTAATGAATTTATTAAGAGATCGTCTTACAGTTTTGGATATATCCTAAAAATTAAACCAAACCCTTTTGAAAATTGTCCATATAAAATGTAATATTAATAATAGACATATTAGATATACATTTTATCAACCTATTTCAGTCTAAAAAGGGGTTAGATTATCTGCTCAATATTTTAAATTCATTCATTATATTATATCCTCATTTAGTGTTCTGGCTCCCATTTGTTTTATAAGAAAGAGATTGTCCTTTCCCAGTTTTGAGCATGTATGTAGGAATCCTAGAAATGTTATGCAGAACTGGTTATATTGAGGATATATGTAGGAAACCTAGAAATGTTATATTCAGAGAGATATAAGAGCCAATGTGGTCTCATGGTTAAGGCAACAGGCTAGAAACCATGAGACTTTGAGTTCTAGTCATGCCCTAGCCATGAAAGCCAGCTGGATGACTTTGGGCCAATAACTCTCTTTCAGCCCTCTTTCACCTCACAGAGCTGTTGTGGGGAGAAGAGGAAGGTGTGTTTGATATGTTCGCTGCCTTGAGTTATTTATAAAATTAATACAAATAAATACATATAAACATAGCAATTAATTTAATTATCTGTCTAGCCTTTGTTGAGCAAATTTTTTTACTATTTTATTTTATTTTAAGTTAGAGACCAAATCTTTAAAAGTACATTCAAAACAAAATAAATTAAAAGCATATGGAGTTGAATAAAATATATATATACATAAATTCAAACAGTAAAATGGTAAAATAATGATAAGCAGTAAAGCAGAAAATGTCATTGGAAATGGCATTTCTGACTCCTAAATGTCACTCAGCTGATCCAAATTGAGGTGAGTTTAAACCCACTGAATTGCAATGACAAGGGAACCAAACCGAGTCACTGTCTTAGAACTTTTTATTAAGTACCCACTAGAAATAATTTTACAGTCACAGCTTTTAACAAGGATGAAGAGTTTATTTTCCCAAAAAAGGTTTTTTGTTTTTTTTAAAAAAAGTTGATCTTACCTTTATAAATGAATTGTTATTTGTAGCTATATACACACGGAATTTCAAGGAAGGATGATTGTTGATAACTTTATATAAAATGACTACCCCATGATAATAAACTGGATCATATCTCTCAATTACTGGTCCAACTGGAGACAGTGAGCTCACGTTCCATTTGACATGTGTGGTTGAATGATCAATGGAGCCTTCAAATTCTGGACCATTCTTTTTGAAATGGAATACTTTGAAGGCCTTCTCAAACAAATGATCTGCACGCAAATTCCAAAATGTTAGAACTTTCTCAAGAATGTGCCACAATACATAAATATATGAGATAATATTTACAACGAATCTTACCATTCAGGCAGAGGGTGTGTGGAAACTGAATGGAAGTAAGAACGGAAGAAGTACATTTGATATCAAATATAGGGCCCACAACAATCCAAGGATCTTTAACATAAGCAGCATATTTGGTCCAAGACAAAACTGAATATTCAATGGTGACAGCTCTGGTTACTTCAAAAATTAACCCTGTCGCTGTACATTCAAAGGTTCCTTCATCATCCAACTTCAAGCTAAACAAATGACATACAAAAGATAACTGTGAGTCTATAATATCATCAAATGATAGTTAACATTTTTTTTATCTTTCTAAATAAATATTTAAAAACACACAGATGGAACATTGGTGCTTAGCATAATTCTTCCGCCTATGAGCAGTAAGATACTTTAAAAACGTTTTAAAGTTGTAATCCTGCAAACCATTCCTTAACAATACAAAAAGATGAAAATCACAAATGTTATATTTGTTATATACCCTTAGCAAACAGATTAGCTATTGATATAATTAGAAGTATTCATATCATTTAAATAACAATAACAATAATAATAATAATAAAGTTGGAAGGGACCTTGGAGGTCATCTAGTCCAACCCCCTGCTCAGGCAGGAAACCCTATACCATTTCGGACAAATGGCTGTCCAGTCTCTTCTTAAAAACTTCCAGTGTTGGAGCATTCACCGCTTCTGGAGGCAGGTTGTTCCACTGGTTAATTGTTCTGTCAGGAAGTTTCTCTTTAGTTCTAAATTGCTTCACTCCTTGATTAGTTTCCATCTGTTGCTTCTTGTCCTGCCTTCAGGTGCTTTGTAAAATAGCTTGACTCCCTCTTCTTTGTGGCAGCCCCTGAGATATTGGAACACTGCTATCATGTCCCCCCTCGTCCCTTTCTTCATTAAACTAGACATACCCAATTCCAGCAACCTTTCCTTATATGCTTTGGCCTCCAGTCCCCTAATCATCTTTGTTGCTCTTCTCTGTACTCTTTCTAGAGTCTCAACATCTTTTTTACATCGTGGTGACCAAAACTGGATGCAGTATTCCAAGTGTGGCCTTACCAAGGCATTGTAAAGTGGTATTAATACTTCACGTGATCTTGATTCTATCCCTCTGTTAATGTGTTGGCTTTTTTGGCAGCTGCAGCACACTGCTGGCTCATATTTAAGTGATTGTCCAGGACCCCGAGATCCCTCTCACAGTTACTACTATTGAGCAGGGTACCCCCTATACTATACCTGTACATTTGGTTTTTCTTGCCTAAATGTAGAACCTTACGTTTTTCACCATTGAATTTCATTTTGTTAGATAGCACCCAGTGTTCAAGTCTGTCCAGATCCTCCTGTATCTTAAGCCTGTCTTCTGGAGTATTGGCTATTCCTGCCAGCTTGGTGTCGTCTGCAAATTTGATGAGTTCCCCATCTGTCCCCTCATCCAAATCGTTGATGAAGATGTTCAAGAGCACTGGGCCCAGAACAGAGCCCTGGGGAACCCCACTACACACTTCCCTCCATGTAGATGCGGTTCCATTGAGGACCACACGCTGAGTACGGCCGGTCAGCCAGCTACGAATCCATCTGGTGGTAATTAGCATGCATAATATAATTAGTAGAATTAGTGTACATAATAGTACTAGCCTCTTAGACTATGTTTCTTACACTTCACATAATGATAATGAATGTATTTTAATGTGCTTTTAATAAGTAATAGTAAGCTAGAAAGTATACCAAAAAAATCATAATTTCCATCTTCTATGAAGTGGACTTCCTTTTCATAATTCCAGAAGAAACAATACTCTGAAATAAATATATAACACTATGCTAGAAGAATAAGGTATATATAGCAATTTTTGTATGAATGTTCTTGATTTTATAATTATCAACCAATAACTTTCCTTCATTTTTTTTCTATTCCATCAAAATACTTGAGCAATGAAGTGAATATGTAGAATTAGCAGCAGATCCTCCCACGTCCTTTACTAATTGATAGCATGCTTATATAAATTTGGACCTGCACAATTATATACATGTAAACATAAAAAAGAAAACAATTCCAGTAATGTTTATAATAATAATAATAACAACAACAACAATAAATAACTACCAAAACTGTCCTTTCAGAAATCTTCTGGGAGTGACTTGTTCATGTTGCTTCTTTATATTTAAAAGAAAAGAAAAATAAATTATTGAAATATCAATGGTACCTTTATGAAATAAGATTTAAGGCAACTTGAAATTTTCAAACCTACTTTTTGGATTATGCAATGTTTACAGCATTGCTGGATGTTAACTTCTAAAATGAAACAATAGAACAAAATTAGATTTTTTAAAACATAAAACTTTTTAACACTGCAACATATACAATGTTCTAAGGGTCAATACCAGATTTGCCACCATTCTGTAACTCTTTTTCTTCTGGTTTTTCAACTGTAAAGCAAACAAAAAAAATTAATCATAAACTGAACCAGATAGGAATTTTAAAATTGTTATCAAAACATAACATTTGAATGTTCCCTGTCCTTTTAGATCTCCCATCCCTGTTTAATTAATTAATTAACTAACTTTAATTCATTGCCTCCATTTTCCAGAATTCTGGACAATATTGCAAAATATACAATGCCTGTACCTGATTCGCTACAATATAGCTGTAACTCTTTCTCTTCTGCTTCCTCAACTGTGAAAAAAATAATAAAGTGAATCATAAGCTGAATCAGTTAGGATTTTTTAAATCGTTATCAAAATGTAACCTGTGAATAATTCCTGTAATTTGAGGTCATATCAAATTAACACTCTGCACCCTGTGCATTTTATTTTAATTAACTGCCTGTGCTTTAATTTTCCAGAATTTTGGCAATCTCAATATTTTCATATTATTTTAGGGCAACAGAAGATACTTCTCACATGATATAATCAAGCTACACAACTTGCTATTCTATCATATGAGAGCCATCACATTAAACCAGCTACAGAAACGGGCATGGTGCTAGACTTCCACAGCTATTAGCGATGACAGCTTGTTAAATGTTCCTTACTCATCAGCCAATGCCTGCTATCCTGATAAACCACTAGTGCAAAGTTACTATTAAGGAACTCACTTGTAAGCTTGCTGGAAGCATAAGACTGACTGCTAAAAGAAACAGAATATTGAACTAGGAAGATAATTCACCTGTCCTAACAGAGATTTTATGTTCCTATACATTCAGTTTTCCAGTTTGTAATGAAAGTGAGAGATGATCATGATAACCATATTCTTATTACTAATTATAGCTGTTGGACATTCCAGTCCACCTATTACAGCTGATGAAAATTAGAATTTTAATCCAAATGTGACTTCTGTTATGAGAGATAAGGTTGGCATTCACCATTGACCACTCTATTTAGTTAATTCACCTTAAATTCCGCAAAACCCTTTTTCGAAAATGATTCAGATCGTATACTCAATATCATTTCATTATTACCAGATTTTCAGCATGAAACTATCAGAAAAAAATAATCAAATTAGTTTTTTAGATATCTAACATGTTCATATGAATTGTAAAGTACTACTGAAGGGAATGCAAATTAAAGAGAAATGGAAAAATGCAAAACAATGGAGCAGCAGGCACCTAAGAAGTCTATTAAACATTGATCAATAGTGGAGAAAAATAGAAAATAGTGTTTACATAAACAAGATAAATAAACAGAGCAAGATATGCAGTCCTTGACTTATGACCACAATTGACCCCAAAGTTTCCATTGCTAAGCAAAATAGATGTTAAGTGAGTTGAGCTCCCTTTTACGACCTTTTTTGCTACAGTTATTAAGCAAATCATTACAATTGTTAATTGAATCATGCAGTTGTCAAACAAATCTGGCTTTCCCCATTGACTTTGGTTGTCAGAAGCCAGTGGGGATTACATGCCTCCGGATCACTGCAACTGTCATAAGTACATGCTAGCTGCCAAGCACCCAAATTTTGTTCATATGACCATGGGGATGCTGCAACAGTTACAAGTGTGAAAACCGGTCGTAAGTAATTTTTTTCCATTGTCATTGAAAATTTGAATGGTCACTAAAATGAATGGTTGTATGTTGAGAACTACCAGTATATGTCAGAACACTGCATATGGCTCATAATTGGTGAGATGCAAGCAACAATAAAGTGACTTTCAAGGTAGACTCTATATTAGAAATCCTAGTTTGAAGGAAAATTTGAGCATATTTGCAGTAAAATTAGGCTTTGGTTGCTCCAAATATGCAAAAAGTAACAGACAGCGTCTTTACCATTTATAAGAAATGCTGCATGACAGTAAAACTGTCATAAGAATAAATGGAATGCTTTGCAAATGATTCAAAACTAATCAGACAAGGATGTCTGATGTACTCTTTATTATATTTAATATCTTTATTATATTTATTGCAATTTCAAGTTATACATACAGTAAATGGTAAAAAAAGGTAATATGATTCATTTTGAAACCATGGTCAAGTGTTTACTACACATGAGGAAATGGATGGGGTGATTTTGAAGCATGCAAATACTAGCAGAATGGTAGGGAGTCTGTTGCAAGGAATTAATGTTTCTTGAAATTATTAATTATTCTTTCTGCCAAAGGAGGTGTTACAAAGTACCAGACTGAGGGATCCTTTTTTTTTTTGCATCTGCTATGGCCACTTTAAAAACTGAATCTGTAAACAACTGCATATACTATGCAAGTAAGCATGCATTCAAATTTGCCAAAATATCTCCTTTTTAATTTGTACTCTGCAGACACTGGGTCAGCCCCTGTTCTGTTAAAGATACACAAACAACAAAAGTGCCTAAACTTTTGCATGTTAAGTCATTTCCTGTAACTTTTTCACTTTAGTCTGGACTTTTTTTTTAGTTGCTAAGAATACCACAGGCAAAACATATTTGATCCTAAAAATTATAAGTCGAACATCACACATTTGCACTGATACTGGTTTCCATTTGTATGATTAAAGAACAAGAGCCTGTCTGATTAAAATCAAGTCTCTTGTAATTCAGAATGCAACTTCCAACACTACCTCCCTCAGCTTTTCTAACCTGATGCGGCTCTGAGTACAGGCACAAAGGACTTGACATACGAGTAGTCCTCAACTTACAACTGGTTGCTTAATGATCATTCAAAGTTACAACGGACCTCACCAGGGATACTTGGTTCTGAAGATCTGACAGCCACCTCCTGGTCCTGTGACACCGGCACTAGGCAAATAGTCCACATTTGTGGCCATTTGCTGCATCCCACAGTCATTTTGTGACTTTTTTGCCATTTTTTGGACAAAACTGGCATTTCCTTTAAGGGTTTTGGCAAAAACACCCATAGTGAACAACTGATTCACTTAGCAATCGCTTTATGACTAATGTGTTCACTTAAGAAGTGCCACAAAAAGATTGGTCACGTGATAACCCACTTTAGGTTCATCACGACTGTAATGAATAGGCTCCATTATGGTCGTAAGTCAAGGACTACCGCTAGTATCTTCCTCACTCTCTGGCAATCTGAGTACAGTATGAGAGCTCCACCTAGCTATTATACTTATTACTATTTAATCAGTTTAACTATAATTTCCTCAATTATTATTCTGAGGAAGAATAGCACTTTTGCGATAGTAGGATACTTTTTGAAGTTTTAACTATAATGAGCAAATACCATACCTTGGTCATTGTTAACTGTTTTCAAATTATCTTATGACCTCCTTAATAACATTAACAGCCAAATAATTTGCTTGCATTTCTAAGTTATCTTCCTGCGATTTTGCAGAGCAATTCTGTTAGAGCTTTCCCACACAAAAACTACAATTAACGATAAATAAAGGATACCCACGTGGTTCATTTTCATTTGTCTCTGCAAATAAAAAGGTTGACATGGTGAGACAGAAAGATTTGTTGACTTGTTAACTTTTTGGATTACTTGTTCGTTTAAAATAAAACTAGGCATAAATATTAAAACATGTGCACAAAGCTATATTTGTCACTCAGAGACAGACACCATTTCCTTCAATTCTTTTCCTGACCATCCTGTTTTGCCACTTTTCCTGCCAATCTCAAGGGACCTGCTCTCATGGCACCTCCAGCGGAGTCCCTTGTGAACATATATTATGTTTGAGATAGAAAACTGTTTGCTGAGATAAAATATCACTCACCATGGCAACAACATATACCAAGGAGAGCAGAAAAGTAATAAAAAGAGCAAAAGGCAAAGAGCTGACTTACATACAGGTAGCCCTTGACTTACAACGGTTCATTTAGTGATCATGCAGAGTTACAAAGACACTGAAAAAAGTGACCATCCCTGTGGTCACGCAATCAAAATTCAGACACTTGGCAGCTAACATGTATTTATGGCAGTTGCAGTGTCCCTGGGTTATGTGATTTCCTTTTGTGACCTTCTGACAAGCAAAGTCAGTAAGGAAGTCTTAACGACTTAATGACCATGTTGCCAACCTAACAACTGCAGTGATTCACTTAACAACAGGGTAAGCCAGGTCGTGAAATCAGGCAAAACTCACTTAATTGTCTTGCTTAGCGATGGAAATTTTGGGCTCAGTTGTGGTCATAAGGCGAGGACTACCTGTACAGAGCTACCGGCTGCAGTTCAACATTTTAAATATTAAAACAGGACAAGTTCTATTCATTTATTTCTCCTTGCCTTCTTCTGTTTTTCAACTGTCCCTCCAAATGGTCAGGAGGAAGAATTCTGTGTTAATTTAACATATTCAGTTCCTTAGGAATCGTTTGAAAGAAGATTTTCCCCTTTAAGGTTCCCCCCCTCCCCATAAAATTACCAATTAATTATTGATATTCATGAAATGTAGCTGCATAATTACTGACCAGACTCGCTTTCGGAGCTCTCTGAGTCACTGCTGGAATTGTCGTTACCTTCATAAAATGAAAATGTATTTGTCTTAGTAATAGTTAAACAATGATGTAGATTAAAATGATACCATTGAATGTAACATTTGCTCAATCTAGTTCTGACCTTAGAAGAAAATGGTACTCTATGTAGGAAAAATGATGACTTTTCCTATTTGTACAAACTCTTATGAGATCATTTTCAAGACTCCTTAGTGACCCACTATAATTTGGACAGTGCAACCTATATTTTACTTGCTCATTATGTTTAAGGTAAACTGCATCCTAGGCTAAATATGATATAGACATTGTTAAAGAAAACAGCACCTGAAGATCAACTTTTGATTGAGATTACACCATGTGGGAGTGGAAGATTTGACCCTTCTTTCAAGAACTACAATTACATGATACAAAAATATCTATGCATCAAAACTGCACATAGGTTCTAGTACTTAAAAAATATTAATAATTTTGCATCACTTTTAGTTAAGACCTTAGCTGGATGGTGTAATTATGCTATGGAAAAAGCTTTGTATGGGATTTTGTTCAAAATTAATCACTCAATGTTTTTTCCTTCCTCTGCTCCAATTTGTTTGGATGAAGTCCAAATGAGGACTTATGTCATACTAAAACTAAAAAAAAAAATATTATCTGCCAGAAGTTTTCAACAGCCATTATTAGATAATAATTTATTTTCCTGTACAGTTTTCTCAATTTATTTTCTTGTGCAAAATCTTCATTTTTATTGTTACAGATTTAACTATGTAATTTGTGGGGAAAGAATGCAAAATTAAATATCCATTGTCTCCCTAAAAAAAGGGGTGGGCAACCCAAGGTCACAAAGGGTCACAAACTCCCTAATTTTTGTTTGTTTGTTTGCTATGGATTCTTTCCAGCTACAAATGCATTGCTGGTATGGAGCTAAGAACTGTAGCCTAAGCCTAAAATTGCATTTGCAAGTTTAAAGAACAAAGAATACCACTGCCAAAATGTAGTAAAATACACTAAAACCGATTTACTGCAGCCCTCCTTCCCCTCCCCCAAATATTAAATGTAGTTTTCAGTCTCTACAACAATATCTGGTCCTTCCTAAAATAAGGGAATATGTGAAAATTGCAGCAATCTTGTGAAACAATATTTAAAAAATTATTCTAGGTGATAATTTGTGATCCCTTTCACAAAAATGAAACATACGTTGGTCATTTTTATGTTTCATTTGTACATTTGTTGATTAGCTTTTAATGCAGAACTGGCCAGGCCTTCATCTTAATCAACAACATCAAAAGGTGGCAGAGATCATTTGAAACCATTTCCCAAGACATTATGGGAAGGAATGAGAGCCTCAGGGAAAAATGAGTGTATGTGGCAAGCAGACTGAAAGGGTTACAAATGCAAAAACAAGACCCACAGAATTTGATTGTCATATCAAAAAGTTTTTAAAAAGTAACAGAGTCATCTGAATCAAGACAAACTCAAAGAGAATGGCATTTTTTTTAAAAAAAGTATTACATAAGATAACAATCATAATTCAGAGAGAAGAAATAGTACAAGATATTTTATTTTCAAAATGGAATAACTGATTTGAAGGAAACTAGGTGGCTTAAGTCAGACTGTAGCAGTTGATTTGGAGGAAGGAAGTTAACAATTTCTGCCCAATTTACTCATCCAATGAAACCATGAAAATCTGTTTTGATTGACTGGAGATACACTTTAAAGAACATAATACTTTCCCTTCAGGGGAAGAGCAATCAATAAAAATATCTTACTTCCTCTCCTAGAGGTCAGTACATTATGAACCAAGGGAAGCCCTATCATTATGCAGAATGAAGCAGTCAGCGTAATCAGTGACTGCTAAGTACAGGTAGCATTTCTTTAGGAAGAGCTGCTGATAAAAGTTTGGGAATGCAAATCATTTACTTTGCATATCTCCAACTTGATGTGCCATGCATAGATCTAGTGAAAAACTTACTCCAATAGAAGAGAATATATGCAGTTTAAGGTTGAGCTGTAGAAGTTTTGGTGCTCTGTAAGCTTGGTTATTGTGTGAAGTAGACAACCAAGTTCACAGAGCACAAAGAACACCATAGAGAAACTACTGCTTCTAGATGTTTCTAGATCTTGGACAAATCAAAGGCAAATATATGTGTTCCAGGATAATGTTGCAGGATTCAATCTGGGTCGTTCACGGGGCCAAGGGGTTTAGTCTTCCAAGCTTTTGGACACATGCTGGAGCCCATCCACAGGGAACTTCTCTCTATCAGAATGTGTGCTTTGGGCTATTATAAGCATAGTATTTATGTGGTGCCTATTAAGCCAACAACTTAATAGCCGGCCACAAACACTCCAATCAACAAATAAAAAGCCACACAAACTAGGCACCACATAAATACTATGCATAGAAATGCCAAAATCACACATTCTGGTAGAAAGTAGTTCCTTGAGGATGGGCTTCAGCACGAGCCCAAAAGCTTGGAGGACGAAAGCTCTGATCTCAATGACCGACCTGGATTCTGCAGTCAAAGGGAGTTCTTAGAGGTGAAAATAAACTAAATCAAATTCAGGACTTCAATAGCAACAACACTGATGCCTTATCAAGGATGGTACAAAATGCCATCTCTCCATAGCCTCTTTAAATCATGAGGAAATTATCCAGAAATTATCAAAATGGCTACACAGGAGGGCCTAGCAAGGTCCCTATTATATAGGAATAATCTGCTTCCTTCTATGACAGTGAAGGCATAATGAGTAAGCATGATGAAAGCAAGAAGCAAAGATCAGTGGAGGCTCTATTTTCTTTCTTTCTGAAACCCTAAATTTTCTTTGTTTTCAGCAATCTATTTTGTTTGGATATATCTCTTTTTCTGACACCCTCTTTCCCTTTTTCTCTTCATCCTCAGCTTCTCAGGAAAGAAATAAATAATTATATTTAATTAATTTACCTTTACTAATAAAAGATACACTGAAGAGAATTATAGATTTTTGAAAAATTACCTTTGTCATCCTCAGAAGTACCATCAGATTCACTGAAAAAAATCAAATTAATATTTAAGTAGATGAGATTCTTTGTAGCATTAAATAGTATTAAATGCATCTTAATAAGAAAAATGGGTGTATTCAGTCATACATTTGAACCATTTCTTTGTTGGTTATGATATAAAACCATACCATTGTAGACATTGTACATTTGCTTTATAAACCTATGAATGAGATATTTGTTTAGTAAAAATTCTATAGGGTCTTTAATCAACAACCTAAGCTCTGTGCCAGAATTTCTAGACCAAGGATTCAATAGAAAGCTTTGTCTAAAGCTGATTGGTTAAAGCTGATTGTTCAGTTTGGGCACATCTCAAATGTTTCATAGCACATACTTTTATATACCATCTGGAATAATTCAAGGCAGAATTATTACTGTAGCAGAGATTGTGTCAAGTAATTCTATGTTAGACTCTTCTTTTTGCAAAGTGTTCCA